GACCTGCATGGGCCTGGATGGTGGGGGCTGGGTCTGGCCCAGGGCTAGCACCAGGTAGTGGGTAGGGGAAAGATCCCAATGGAGGAACTGACCTGGGATGTGATCTACTGTTTCCCAGGCAACCCCTCCTCACCCCAGCAGTGGACCTCCACATTCTCCATCACCCTCATGCTGGAAATTTCTCAAGGCTGAGAAGGGAAAGAGTGGCCCAACCTCCGACCACCCCTCCAGCAAGCAATGAGGTTGGGCAATGGGCCCTGTGCTGCTGCCTTGGGTCCTGGATTTGAGGTCTGGCTCTGACACACTCTAGCTGTGGGCCCTTGGAGGGCACTTCCTTTCTGTGAGCCTCAGTTTACACATCTTGACACAAGGATCGTAAATCCTGCTCTTTGTTTGAAAGAAGGCATTTGAAAAGGGTCTTGAGGGAAGGAAAGCTTGGACAAGCGGGGGTGAGGGAAGGAAGAGAGGATGCTCCAGACAGACAGCAGAGGCGTATCTATGCGTGAGCGGTCCCAGTGNCCAGCAGAAATCACAGATATTTTTGTATCACAACATAGTTGTTACAGTGTCTAAAAGTATTTTTAACCATCAGGATTTGGAATTTTGGACATTATCAAACCCATCCCGTATCATGCTACAACTTTATCACAGATTTGATTTGTAATATTTTGATTGTAATTTCACTATCACTGGGTGTTCTTGTGCTTTTACTTTGTGCATTTCTGAGACGGGAATCCACAGGCTTCACCCAGCACCAAATGCCAAAAGGTTCAAGGCCCCATGTGCATCAGAGCCCTGCCCCGGGTGCTCACACCAGTGCGAGGACTTCCACACCCCACAGGCTGATGTGCTGTCCCCATCTCCCACCCAGACCTGTCCTCTGAGTGTCCCACCATCTCCCCACAGGTTTCCCACGAGCAGCTGAAGCATAAAACTTCCACCAGGGACCTCTTCATTCTCCAGTTCCCTCCAGTCCTGTCCTGCAACTCCCACCCCATTCTCCCCTCTTTCCCATCTCGGCGTATAGTCCAACCCAGTTCTGAAGCCCCAAACCCAGACCTCAACCTTGACTTCCCTTTTTCTCACCTGCCACATTCAACCACTAGT